CGAGCACAAAGTTCTGTGACCTGGCTGGATGTTCTGGTCCCCAAGGCTCACTGGGACTGACCAGTATAAATAAAGGTTGAATGAACGGTGTCCCAGGTCCACGGGCCTTGTGTTAACATGTCTGACCTGCTCAACAGTTTAGTGTCAGGAGAGATTGTCATAAGGAAGAATTAAAAAATGTCTGAATGTTGAAACAGCATTCACACGTTTTTGTCCTTTTTTATTTTTCTGTACAGTTTTTGAATCTTCTACATATTTTGTGAAGTTTTAACCACAACAACATTCAGTTTTTGTATACAGGTGTTATGACCCAAATACTTACTTTTGGTATTTTCAGTACTTTGAAAATATTTGATTATAATTACAAACTTTTTCCACATTGACAAACATTGATTTGGTTTCAAGTTCTGAAAAATATTGTTCTTTTTGAAATCTGCTTCAGCATACCTTCTCTGGTTTTGTCTTTTGATGCTACTTAAAACTTAACTTTTTTATTTTTTGCTCCAAACAGGCTTGTTGCAATATTTAGATAGATTTTGGCTACTTTTACTTTTATCTATCCTTTAGACACTTGTAGCTTTAGGCTAATATTCTCCTACATTTAGCTTTTTGTTACTGTCCTGCTTCAAGTTAGTCTTTTGTTAAATTTAGCAACTTTTGCTGCTATAAGCTGAAGTTTATCTAATCTGTAAATACTTTTAGCTTCTAGCTACAGATTTCCTACTTTACAGCAGACTTCCTGTCCATCTTTTAACTTTGAACTATCATTTTGTTACAAACTAGCCATGAATACAAAAAGTTCCTGCTCAATCTTCCAGGTATCAAATCCAAAATTTCTCAGTCAGGTCATCTGGACAGATTCTTTTTTATAGAGACGCTTGTCCTCTATCCAGAGGGCTTCATCAGTCAAACCTTCTTGGCTCAATCAAACTGGTTGGTCCATGTAAGAAGTTTACTGCTTGGTGGAAAAACAGTTTACTGGAACTCCTGAGACTGATGAAGCCCTCTGGATAGAGGGCGAAACGTCTCAATAAAAATAATCTGTCCAGATGACCTGACAGAGTTGTTGGATAGCCATGAAAATATTTTGCTTTCAGAAAGCATTTGGATACTTTTAGTTATTTTGTTCTAACTTTCGGGCAGCACGGTGGCGCAACTGGTAGAGCTGCTGCCTCTCAGCGAGCAGGTCCCTGGTTCAAACCACGGTCCAGGGGCCTTCTGGGTGGAGTCTGCATGTTCTCTCGGTGCATGCGTGGGTTTTCTCCGGGTACTCCGGTTTCCTCCCACAGACCAAAAACATGCATGTTAGGCTGATTGGTAACTCTAAATTGTCCCTAGGTGTGAGTGAGAGAGTGAATGGTTGTTTGTCTCGTTTGTCTCTATGTGGCCCTGTGATGGACTTGCGACCTGTCCAGGGTGTACCCCGCCCCTCGCACAGTGATTGCTGGACATGGGCACCAGCGACCCCCGTGACCCATAATGGAATAAACGGGTAAAAGATAATGGATGGATGGATGGATGTTCTAACTTTCTTTTAGTTAAGTTTCACCACAGTGGTAACATCATCAGTGAGATGCAGCACAAACTTAAAGAGATGAATGATCAGAGACGAAGGATGCAGAGAAGGAAAGTCAGGAAAATACAGAAAGTTGGAGAGAACCACAACGACTCTGTGACGATTATGAGACAAAAATAGTTGAATAATTTTTTAAATGATAAACAAAAAACTCATAACAGGAAGTTGAGACATTTGGGAGACTCCATCATGAATGCTGTTTGCCAACTGATCTCAGCTCAGTGAGATATTTCCTTTAAATAGTGTAATAATCATGATAGTCAACTTTAAAACTGTTTGACTTTATTCAGTATCACAGGTTCTCTACGATGTTTTTCATTAGACATTCAACCTGTTTAAAGGAAACAAAGAGTAAAAGAGCACCTCCAAGCAGCTTCATGTTCCTCTGACAACAGCTGCCAATATGATTCAAAAGTAGAAGGTTCATGAGACTATAGTCAACCTCTCAGGTTGTGAACTTAAGAGGAACTGCAAACCCAGTTTGACCAGACAGATCGTGTTGATGGTAGAAAAAGAACCAAGGAAACCATCCAAACCATTCAAGATGAACTCCAAGGTAAAGCTGCGTCACTTTCTGATCACAGCGTCCGTCACATTTTAATTCTTCATGGTTCCATAGAAGAATACCCAGGAGGACTCCATTATTGTGAGAAAGACAAAAAGTCAGACAGGAGTTCATTAAAGTTCATGTTGTCAAGCTCAAAGTTTCTGGAAAATATTTCTTGAACTGATGAGACTAAACAGGAGCTTTCTGGCTCGAGTCCCATCAGTTGTGTTTTTCTGATTATTGTGGAAGGATAACAACAAATTTACCTTCGTCTTTAATAAGAACATGTCCAATGTTGACACATGTTTGAATGATACAAACTGAAGAATTAAAGTTTGTGTTTGATAGGACTGAGGAGCTAACGGCTAGTTTAAACAGCTAAAACTGAAGTGAATTGTTGCATCTTCAAACAGCTCGAATGTCAAAACTTTTATTACAACTCTATAAAACAATATTTGATAAACATCCACATGTTGTTTGTTCACTCTGTAGTAATTGACAAAAATATCTCTGGTTATTTATTAGCATAAATATCACATGAAGCATCAAAGAGTCATGTTTTATAAAGTCAAAGTTCTGATTCAGAAGTGGATCCATTTGTCATCACATTACAAAGTTTATTTAAATGTTACTTATTTAGAAATATTTTAATATTTTAGTACTTACTTGGCTTTTTTGGAAACTTTGACCACTGGCAGCAGCCTCTGAATAGACTTCCAGTCATTAGAATATTTCTTTGGGTTGAAATCATCCAGAATTTTTCCTGATGTCAGTAAGATGAAGACCAGAGCTGACCAGTGAGCAGGAGACAGTTCATCTGTGGAGAGACTTCCTGAACTCAGAGACTGTTGGATCTCCTCCACTAGAGAACCATCATTCAGTTCATTCAGACAGTGGAACAGATTGATGCTTTTCTCTGCAGACAGATTCTCACTGATCTGATTCTTGATGTACTGGACTGTTTCCTGATTGGTCTGTGAGCTACTTCCTGTCTGTGTCAGCAGGCCTCGTAGGAGAGTCTGATTGGTCTGCAGTGAAAGACCCAGGAGGAACCGGAGGAACAAGTCCAGGTGTCCATTTGGACTCTGTAAGGCCTGGTACACAGCACTCTGATGGAGATAATTTAGATCATTTTTTCCAGGATTCTTGGATAATTCATCTCCTCCCATCAAATTGAGTCCAGAGTTGATGAAGGTCAGATGGACGTGAAGAGCAGCCAGAAACTCCTGAACACTCAGATGGACGAAGCAGAACACCTTGTCCTGGTACAGGCCTCTCTCCTCTTTAAAGATCTGTGTGAACACTCCTGAGTACACTGAGGCTGCTCTGATATCGATGCCACACTCTGTCAGGTCTGATTCATAGAAGATCAGGTTTCCTTTCTGCAGCTGCTCAAAAGCCACTTTTCCCAGAGACTCAATCATCTTCCTGCTCTCTGGACTCCAGAGTGGATCTGTCTCAGCTCCTCCATCATACTTGACCTTCTTGACTTTGGTGTGAACCAGCAGGAAGTGGATGTACATCTCAGTCAGGGTGTTGGGCAGCTCTCCTCCCTCTCTGCTTTTCAACACGTCCTCCAGAACTGTAGCAGTGATCCAGCAGAAGACTGGGATGTGGCACATGATGTGGAGGCTTCGTGATGTCTTGATGTGGGAGATGATCCTGCTGGCCTGCTCCTCATCTCTGAACCTCTTCCTGAAGTACTCCTCCTTCTGTGGGTCAGTGAAGCCTCTGACCTCTGTCACCATGCCAACACACTCAGCAGGGATCTGATTGGCTGCTGCAGGTCGTGTGGTTATCCAGAGGCGAGCAGAGGGAAGCAGTTTCCCCCTGATGAGGTTTGTCAGCAGCACATCCACTGAGGTGGACTCTGTAACATCAGTCAGGATCTGATTGTTGTGGAAGTCCAGAGGAAGTCGACACTCATCCAGACCATCAAAGATGAACACAAGCTGGAAGTCTTCAAAGCTGCACATTTCTTTGGTTTCAGTAAAGAAGTGATGAACAAGTTCCACCAAGCTGAACTTCTTCTCTTTCAGCACGTTCAGCTCTCTGAAAGTGAATGGAAACATGAAGTGGATGTCCTGGTTGGCTTTGTCTTCAGCCCAGTCCAGAGTGAACTTCTGTGTTAAGACTGTTTTCCCAATGCCAGCCACTCCCTTTGTCATCACTGTTCTGACTGGTTCATGTCTTCCAGGTGGGAGTTTAAAGATGTCTTCTTGTCTGATGGTTGTTTCTGGTGTGTGTGGTTTCCTGGATGCTGTTTCAATCTGTCTGACCTCATGTTCATCATTGACCTCTCCAGTCCCTCCCTCTGTGATGTAGAGCTCTGTGTAGATCTCATTCAGAAGGGTTGGGTTTCCTGCTTTAGCAATCCCCTCAAACACACACTGGAACCTCTTCTTCACACAACTTTTAAGGTTACGTTGACAAAGGGCTGTTGAAGTTTTGAACAAGGAAATAAAGTTATTATTATTGAGATATAATCTTTTAGGCAATTAGTACTTCAATAGCTCTTTTTAACATCCTGATTTTTAACAATTTGGTTTAATTATCCATCAAGTTAAATGTTTACAAAAATCCTCTTACTGCTCTGCAGACGGTCAACCAGCTCCTCCTGCTTCATCCTCCTCAGGAAGTAAACTGTGATCTTCATCAATGCCTCTCTGCTCCTCCTCTGCTCTTCATCATCACCCTCCAACACCTCCTCATCCTCCCTCTGACTCTCTAAGCATTCTGGGTAATCTGGGCTCAGAACCTTCTGGATCTTCTTCAGCTCGTTCTTCACAAAAGTGACCATGTTGTCCTCCAGCAGCTGGAACAGAAAAATATCTGAATGACACATCAGACTGAAATCATGGAGCCAAACATCAGATCCATGTTGGACAGACTGACAGTCCACTGGTCTACATGTAGGACAGACTGACAGTACACTGGTCTGCGTGTTGGACAGACTGACAGTCCACTGGTCTACA